AAAAAAAAAATAAACTAGATGTATATGTTTTTCTACCAAAGAAATTCGAGCATCCCCTGATAAACAGTCTACATCGGGGTGACTTCATTTGGAATCTCGCAAACCTTCCTCTCTTGAAGCCGTTCATTCATACTCTGGGACCAGGCAGCCAGTTGGAGGTTGTGAAAGAAATTATCGAGCAGTTCACGATGAAAATAGCACCCAAGCTGAGATTATTCCGACCGTGTAAGTTGCTTGTTTTTTGAAATAATGTATTACGATATCTAGAATTTGGCTTGTTTGTTTCACTGTGTGTTGCTTATTTATTTAGTCTGTATACTTCCCCATAGTGCAATAGCACTTTCTAGGCAGTTTAGATCACTAATTCAGTCAAATGATACCCAGTACAATAGAAACATACAATGTGTATAGAAACAAATAATGGGTCCCCTGCAACAAGCAAACTCAACTTTAAAATAAACAGTGACACAACTTAATATCCCAGGTAAACATTCATAAAAAGCTAGTGCAGAAGGTTCTTAACATCATGGACTGTTGGCGTGCATGCTGGCTAGGAGATTCTTGGGGCGGTCGTCCTAAAAATTAACTTTTCCACACTTGGGGAGTGAGGCTGGAACAAAATGGCTGGGACACGGCATAGAAGCAGCTGACACTGCAACATTTCGTTGTAGGTCTACTGGTCTCATTTAACCCTGTTTCTCTTTGTTCTCCATCTAGCTATCAATCATGGAGATCTCAACGACCACAATATTCTCGTCGATAAGGATTCTGCTTCCCCTGATGGTCTGCAGTTTAAAGTGTCCGGCATTTTGGACTTTAGTGACATGAGTTACGGGTACTATGTCTTTGAAGTGGCCATCGCCATCATGTATATGATGATAGAAAGCCGGGACCCTCTCAGCGTGGGTGGCCATGTCCTGGCAGGATTTGAAAGCGTCATCCCATTGACCCCTGAAGAACGAGGTGCTCTTTTCCTCCTGGTGTGCGGAAGGTTTACTCAGTCTCTGGTGATGGCGGCCCACACCAGTCTCCTGCATCCTGAGAATAAAGAGTACTTGATGATCACAGCCAAGACAGGGTGGAAACAGCTGATGATCCTCTTTGAGATGGGCCAAGAGGCTGTCGAGAAGGTTTGGTTCGAAACAGCCAAAAAGTATAGTACCTGAAACAATCTCCATCAGTCTTGGTTGACATGGCTGCAGTCCTCAGGTCTGGCTGGATGTCCAGCGTTGCAGTTCTAAGATGATGACGACGGTTTCCAGTAGGACTCTGTAAATATATATGAAGATCCATGATGAGGAAATGTGCACCCATTGGTGGGTGTGTATGCAACTCAATGAATGGGTTGGGTATGTGTGCAACCTAATGCAACCTAAAATCTCCTTACCTTCCCAATATAGGGAGGTTAAGTTGCAGCCTCTCCTAAAGCCGCCGGGGCCCACCCTCTAAGGGCACAGGAGCGGTTTTGCGCAATACCCACCCTCCTCATCTGTTTTAAGCCTTGCAATGAGAGGGAAAAGGTAAATAGCTTATCCTTTCCGTTTGAAGAATTTGGATAAGATGCTTTGTGAAACTGTTTTCAGAGAGGCCGCCCCGTTCATCTTGTTCCGCTCATACTACAAAAATACAGAATAGAAGCAGCAGGAAGTACTGCTACGTTTGCCAGACAAATTCCTGCGGAAGAGAATTGTAATCCACAACAAAGCACACTGAAATATATGTGGAAATCTTCAAGGTGATGCCCTTTCGTTTTCATTTTTGTTATACTTGTAAAACTATCATGCCCAGAATCCCCCCCCCCCCCCAGGTGCCAGCATAGCCACTCAGGCTTTCGGGCGTTATAATTCAACAAAATAACTTTTCAAAACTAACTTTCTGCCTCCTTCCAGTTTGTCTTGGAAGTCCTGTTTTCAAAACAGGAAAAACTACCAGTTTGGAAAACAGCCCCCCCGCTTGAAAAAAATTAAGAGGAGTGAGAACACAGGGCAGGATTGTTAATCCATATCTGCTAGATATAAAGAGGACTTTTAAAGAATTTGCTGGGGGAATGGACAAGCCTCCATAGTCAGGCTGGGAGTGAGCTATTCTTGCCCCTGAACCTCTGGAAATTATTCCTCATCTATGCAGAAAAAGCAGGAACTGCAGAGTTTGCATGAGTACAGTACAAAACATCTCTTAGGGACCCTGATGGTGGATAATGCCAAATGGATTTAACGAGGGGACACCCTTACCCAAAGGGTATAAAATGCTGGTGGGTGGAGAGAGCAACAGCTTGCACAGAATCACTCCACGCTGCAATATTTCGTTGCAGGTACCTAGAATTTGGAATTTATTTGATGAAGATGTCTTATTTTCTTTATGCACCGTTTGGTCCAAGAAGTTCATAGAGTAGCAAATGCAGCTTCATTTTCCTCTATAAGTTCGTGAATGATGAGCCCAAGGCTCAAGCCTCACAAGATTAAAATTTGGGCGTAAAGGCCTGCACGTGCCTTTGCATTTTCCCTGTGAAACAAGTAATTTGGCGGTATCTGTGGTCGTTTTATTTATCTAGATCTCAAAATACAGCTAGCCACTCGGCTGTTGCCTGTGTTGAACAGAAAGCAATGGTCTACAACGCAGGGTTGTTGTGGAGGCCTGTGGAAATAGCTTCTTAGATCAGAACAAAGGAGTAGATTTAACGCAATTCCATTTCCTTAAAACGCGTCCGCCTCTTTCCAGCCTCAGGAGGGCGGGAAGTATGAGGTCCCCCCCCTCAAATCCTTCAATTGATCTTCCTTGCCCTATCATGGCATGGGGCCCTTCAGAGCCTCTTTTGCCCACAACAAGCATGGCGGCCCTCGCCTCTCGGAAATCCGGCTCCCAAGCCACGACCGCTCTAGCCCTGAAGATCTCTGCCCGACCCTAAGTGGAGAGAGAATGCGCAGGCGCGCGGCGGCCATTTTGGACACCGGTGGGGAGAGAGAGCCTTTGCGGGCGGTGAGTTGGGGCCGGTGTTTGTTTCCAAAGTGGAGGGTTCGGGGTTGTCGGGTTTTTTGGGGGGGGCGGCTCTCGAGGCGGGGCCGGCATGGCAACGGGGCCGCTAGCACCCGACTGGCCCCGGCCCCTCCGTTTCGCTTTCTCCGGGCTGCTCCGCCTCGTGCTTTCCTCCCCGGGGTGGAGGATGATGACTTTGCACGGTTTGCCTGAGAAGCCGGAAAACCGGGAGCCTCGTTCTCCTTCCTGGGGCTGGCCTTGGAAAGTGGCCCCGAGGACACACACCCCCCTTGGCCCCCATCGTCGCCCTCTTGCATGCCTCCTGGGCGGCTCTTGGTCAGCCGGGAGTTCCCCAGGTAGAGCCTTCCCCGTAACGTGGAGTTCCACAGGCACAGCCTTCCCTGTAACGTGGGGATGCCACGACTGAGAGGACCTGCAGGCAGCCAGGCAGGCGTTTATGCATTGCCCCCTCCGTCACATCTGGCCCTCCATGGGGACGACAGGACAGCAGGCCAAAGGGGTTTGGGAATCTTTCTTGGATGAACTACAGAACCCACAATCCCCAGAGGCCCAGCTGGCTGGCTGGTTGGAGGACGTGGGGTGGGGGGGAAGGAGAATTGGTTTTTAGATACTTAACTACCATTTAAAAAAGGGGGTGGAAGCAATATGTTTTTGGACTACAACTCCCAGAACTCCTGGCCAGCCCAGCTCTGGGTGAAGGCTTCTGGGAGTTGCAGTCCAAAAACATATTGCTTCTCTTCTCTCCCCCCTCCCATTTTTTTAATGGTCTACTAAAGGTATCTCCTGCTTGTACATTTGTATTATTTTGAAGGCCCTGTAGCCTGGTCCTGATTATTTTGGGTTACCCAAGGTTGGGAATCACTGCTGTATAGAGTAACGTGGGCAAAACACAATTGTTTGGATGGGATGTTGGACGGCAACTTCTGTTTTCTTTTGCCATTAGTTATGCTTGCTGGGAATTAGATTGAAATACCTCTCCAGAACTATTTACAGTTTTGTCACCCGCAAAACCATGATATCATTTTTGCGTCTATCCGCATGTGTGTTTATTGTGGGAGTAGATAGGTACAGTATCTAAATAAAATCTGCAAAGTGTAACACAACAGCTGCTTTTGCCGAATATTAAAGAGTAACCAGTCTGTCGTGGCATAAATGTCTGTGAACTAGAGTCCGCTTTGTCGGAAGCCCAATTTGAGACATTCTGCTAGGTACGATGAAAAGAAAATCATTATAAACAGTGGGAATGAGATTGAAATGAAAAGAATTGGCAACAATAAAAGGTTATGGTAATGATGTTAAGTTGATTTCATTTGTGCTTCCTTGATGTTATGTATAAGATTGCCACTTAATGTAGATTTTTATATACGGGTAGATTTCTTGATTCATTTAACTGATGCCATAATAGGTTTCTGAAGTCACTGAATGCAACACAAGCTCCCTAAGTGTCAGTCTTTAAAGAAGCACATCAACCCATAGTATAAATTTTGTGTTTCAGATTGTGTTACTGTCATTTAAATCCTGGTTCACATATTGACTTTAAGTATGTGCAACGTGTTATTGGCATTCATGTTGGAGATTGTCAGCTTTCCAGCTGGCTCTTGTTGTATGTCTTTAATGGCAGCACTCTGTCTCACAAAGGAGAGAAGTTCTCTGTGAATTACAGTAGGATCCCTGCATCCACAGGGGGTTGATTCCAAATCCCCAGGTGGATGCTGAAAAATGGGATTATAGCAGACTCTTCTGTCTCTGGATCCCTCTGTTGGCCAGCTCTGGGAACTTCATCATTCAGAAATTTTGGGGATTTTTCTTTTTTCAGACAGTGGATAAGTGAATCAGTGGATACTGATCTTGCAGATATGGAGGTCTTCCTGTATTTCTTAATTTCAAAAAAGTAGTGGGGGAAGCATCAGCGGCTATATTTCTGTGGGATTAAATGTGTTGCAAAAAAGCCAGTTAGAAGAAGATACGCTGTCTGTCTTCTGGGGAAATGATGCTTCGGGATTAAAGCCTTTTAATGCCTTTGTGTTTTCTTTTACAGCCTAGTACAGCCAGGAAGCACCATGGTGAGTTTCTGCCCTAATTCCAGTCTGAGTATAGATGGTCAATGGAATGAAGAAAATAAGTGTGACATAGGTGTAGAGATGTACAGAACAAAGTTAATCAATGCCCAGATCTGCAGAATTAAATCTCCTCAAGCATTTTGTGTGTCCAGAAATCAGTTTATTATAGTGGCTCTTTCATAGCTATTCCATGCACCTAGAATGCAGGAGGCAACAGTTCAGGTTGCCACGCTGAATCAGAAGATCTTCCCTCTAGCTGCAAGGTGAGGGGCCCCGGGCCCCTGTGTTGTTCAAAATCCAAATATACCTCTTATGCCCTGAAAAATGTAATTACAAAGCATAGTTACAAAGTTGATTAACATACATAATTACAGAATAGTTCTATCAGGTTTCTCTTTCATAGCACTGACAATCCTTTCCATATAGTACTGTGTATAAGGAGGCTTAAGCGTCCGTACGACCCCCTGATCTAAGGGCTGAATTAGGGATATTGTGTTTGTGGGGGAAGCAGATCACTTAAGTGTTGAACTTATGGGACTCTGGATGGTCAGGGGCACCGTATTCATTGAATATTTATTTATTTATGGGGAAAAGTGTGTATAAGCAAAATTAGAGTGGTCGTATAGACCAGATGGGCGGGATACAAATTAAATAAGTAAATAAAATTATGCTGCTCAGACCCGTTCAGTTCAAGCAAGAATTGCATTTACTCAAATGCATTTTGGCTGTTACATATTGTCATTTGGTCGTGTTATTACTTTTTTTAAAAAAAAAACATTCTTGTTTGCAGTCTCGAAGATATGATTCCCGAACTACAATCTTTTCTCCAGAAGGTAATTGCATGCCAAAAACCAGAAAAAAAAACATAGAAAAAAAACATTGATAATTCACTATTGATTTTCATTGGTGTCTTAGTGGAAATGGTTAATTTGCATTCGTTCTTGTTGAACCTCAAATTAATTGCATAGTTTATATGATTATGTAAACCAAGACTGGCTCCAGTGTGTTTCTGGTGAGGAGCCAAAACTGCCCTTATTTCTACTGTTACTGTTATTCAGAGATTACTCTTGCTTTTATTTCATTAGCACGAGAGTGTCATTCACCAAATGATCCCCCCCCCCCCCCACTCGTGGGCGTGTCACCAATGTAACTAGTTTAAACTAAGCATGATGTGTGCTTTACAGATATAAATAGAAGCTGTAGTTAACACAGGCTGTTCCCTACTGGGGGCCATATAGAAAGGCAAGGTGGTGCTTGCATGGAAAAGAATCAGTCCTGTTCATTCATGCACTCTTGAACTGAGATGTACCACTACATGCAACATAGAGCTAATCATTTTACAGCTGGGTAGGATTTGATTCCAAGACTTCCTGGCCCAGAGCATACTCTCTTAAACACTGTTGTCATTGTAACAGAAATAACCACAGCCATCTTTGAAAGAGGCACCACTAGTCACAGAATGGACAGATTTGTAGCCCAATCTTGTACGTCTTTCCTTTACCTATTTCAGTCATAAGACTCCCACGATGAATGTTTACTGGTTCAGCCTCTTGTGGCTTAGTTCTCTAGCTGCGCAGCCAGGCGTTGGGGGTTCGGTTCCCCCCCCGTGTCTCCTTGACAGGGTCTGGACTTTAGCTCTGCAGTTCTAGGATGATGATTTTATTACTGTCTTTAAAGGATGCCCAACTACTCCCATAGATTGACTGTACAAGCCGAACGGACCGACAGATTTACAGCACAATCTTGTACATAGGCGTTTGGCATGTGTGTTTACTATTTTAGCTTTAGCGTCCCACAGTGAGCAGCTGGCTGAAAGAAATAATAACATCCATCCATATCCTGCTACCTGCTAAAAGCATCTGATGCTATTGATATGAGGCTGAAATCCTCTTGAAATCGGGAATTGCTTCCAAGTACAAGTGTATAGGATTGTGTTGTCAGTATCACTTATTTTACTTTCCATTACCTTAACAGTAAGTGTTAGGGTGTACTTTGCATTAGTATTATTTGTAAAAGGAGTAGCCTTTTATGCGATAGAGCTGTGGTTCCCAACCTTAGATCCCCAGATGTTCTTGGACTCCAACTCCCAGAAATCCTGGCCAGCACAGCTAGTGGTGAAGGCTTCTGGGAGCTTTTGAGTCCAAGAACACCTGGTCACCCAAAGTTGGGAGCCCTTGCCATAGAGGTATTTCCTCTACCTTAGAGATGGGGAACCTGGGGTCCTCCATAGGGGCCTTGCAAATCCTACCTTTTCTTTCCATAAGCTAATGATGGTGGAAGTTACAGCCCCACATCTTGGAGGTCATTACGCTGGCCACTCTTTTTATAATAATGTGATAATAATATCCAAACGAAAGAGCTGGAAGGCACCCTAATGGCTCATTGAGTTCATCCCCTGTCAGAAAGGCTCAGCATGGAAATTGAACTACCAACGTCTGGTTCCGCAACCAGGGAGCTAAGCCACTGAACTATCCCACAGTTTAACCTACATCGCATTGATAGGTTTCTGTTCTTTATCACCTGACTCCAGGACGCTGGTGTTAAAAGCCCTATGCTTCTGTGGCCTCGGTTTTAAGTTGTTGCCTCCGCTACCCATCTTCTCCCTCAGGTCGCCTGTATCAGGTGGAATATGCTATGGAAGCCATTGGACATGCGGGCACGTGCCTGGGGATTCTCGCAAATGACGGCGTGCTCCTGGCAGCGGAAAGGCGCAACATTCACAAGCTTCTAGATGAAGTCTTTTTCTCAGAGAAGATATACAAGCTCAACGAGTAAGTTGGGTGCTGTTGTAATGTATGCTCATCCAGTTACATAGGCCTGGCTTTTCAAGGGTGCTAGCATTAATCCGTCAGCAACTTTCAAGTTTCTTTGGCCCCTCTGGGAAAGAAAGGAAGGAAAATACATTTTGTATTCTTGAAGACTTTCATGGCTGGGATCCGATGGTTGTTGTATTTATTTATTTATTTTATTTTATTTATTAATTTTATCCCGCCCATTTAGACCACGTCTACTCTGGGCGGCTTACAATAGGAATATCATAAAAGCATTAAAAACAACAATTTAAATCAGCAATATTAGTATCAATCAAGATAGAAAAACTATAAATGGAAATTAACATAGAAAAGTAAAAATCAAGTATTGACAGAAGGGAAGGCCTGCCTAAAGAGCCAGGGCTTAAGTTGGCTCTTAAAAACACCCAGCAAGGGTACCAGGCAGATCTCTGATGGGAGACTGTTCCAGAGTCGAGGGGCCACTGCCAAGAAGGCCCGGTACTGTATCTTGTTCTTTCTTTCAGGTCCTCCCATGGCGTTAGGCCCCTCAGCTGTCTTTCCTGGCTATAGCGAGTGATTTGAGTAGATCTACGTGTTTTTCGTAGATTCGAGTGATTCGAGTAGATCTAGGTGTTGTTGTAGGTTTTTCGGGCTGTTTGGCCGTGTTCTGGTGGTTTTTCTTCCTAACATTTCACCAGTCTCTGTAGCCGGCATCTTCAGAGGACAGGAGTTAGAACTCTGTCTGTGTTCTTGTGCAGTGTGTGGGACAGTTGAGTATTTGTAGTTGTGGGACTAGTTTTTTGTCCTTTTCAGGACATTCGGTGATTATGAAGATCAGGGTGTTTTTGCTATGGGTGTATTGTTGTGATAAGGGAGAGATGATCTGTCACTGTGTAGAGTTAGTATGTTTAGACACTTAATTAGATATACAAAATAGGGATGTGGGATATAGCATGCAGGCTGTATTTTTCAGTGGCTCCCAAAAAGAAAAAGGGGGGAAAAAAAAGCAAAGTGTGCGGCTTATATATTGTTGACCCTTTTGCAGGCTGTTTTTTTTAGTGGCTCCCAAAAAGAAAAAAAAGAGGAAAAAAGAGCAAAGTGTGCGGCTTATATATTGCTCCATAGTATTTAAAACACTCTTGCGGTGGTTTGACATTTAATTATGTCTGCTACACAGTGCCACCTTCTTGTGCTGAGTCTTTGACCGGACTTGGAACAAATCTTCAGAAAGTAAGATTGAAGAGGCTCCCTACATTGCTTGCTTACAAGATGCAGTGCAGATGTATCTTCTTCATAGTGACTAGATGTAAAACCAGCCAAGGTTATTATTATTAGATGGTATGCAATGCAGTGGAATCCATTATATTTCAGAAACAGGAAAATTGTAATTTGGGCTTCCAGTAGGAAGTGTCCTGTTACTTCTTTGACAATCTACCTGTGACATCTTGACAGCTTTGTTCTTGTGGGTATTGGCCTTTCAGTAATTTGCTGTTCCTTGAAGATAACACAGTAGAACAGGAATATTTTCTGTCTTTTTCAGATGAAATCTGTTTCATCTCTGCAGACCTGGTGGGTGTTTGTCTACTGTGCTTTTTCAAAAAAATCCTGCTTTAACTATTTAACTGCTGGATACAAACACACTTCTGTGACTGTTTTGTCATTCTTTGTAGGATCAACACAAACTGCGGAATTTCTGCTCCTTTCTTTGGTCCTGGAGGCTAGCAGGAAATGTACTACCGCATCACTAAATTGGCATACCTTCAAATTTTGCTTAGATTCCATTGCCAGTTATTTATATCTGTTGTTGTTACGGAAGCTGCTCCTTAGGTTACGTTGTTTTGTTCCGTTCGGCCGGAACAGCAGGTGTCTGATCTCCACCTTCAGTTCTGCAAGAAAAGCATTTAGTGAAATGCAGGTAGAACAGCTGGGGGCTCAGATCGGGAGCCGTACAAGTTTAAGAGCAAGAAGCAGCTTGTGACTGTGCAAATATTTGTGGTCTGCGGCTTGCCTCATCCCTTCACCACTGGCTGTGCTGATGAGGAGAATTGCAATCTATACACTTTGGGAGGGCTGCCGAATGCCCACCTGGACAGACATTCTGCCTTTCTATTGAGTGTCAGGGATAGGGAACTCTCTGTGTGTGTTTAATCCTCCAGGTGATGTTGGACTGCAAGTCTGCCTAGAAAAAAACTCCATGTGGTCTAATATCGGATAGTAGGCAGGGCCAGCCCTGGTCCTGGATGGGGAACAACGGATAACACAATAAGAGGTGCTGCGTATTGACGGCCTCTCTCGTTGAGTCTAGAAAAGACCTCTGTGTGAAACTGGAAAGTTGTAGCCAATCAAAGTTGACATTACTTTACGTAGACCAAACTACCTGTGTTTCTGAATTGCTTATCACTGGCTGTGCTGAATTTGGTTCCTGGGACTTGCAGGCAGGCTGTGTCCAGAGACCTGTGTGTTCCTCGGTCTTGTTTTACAATTTCCTCGATGCATCACCCTTTTTCTTCCTGCGAGAAAGTAGCACAATACTCTTTTTCTTGGTCTTTCCATTTTCCATCCAAACCTATGTCTTCTGCCTTCCTTTTTGTGTTGGCACAAGATCTTTTTTTTTAACATAGGAAACTTTTTTTCCTGTGGTTTGCTGCACATCTTCTGAAACCTTCCTTCAGCGCACCACGATACTAGAAACTGTTTCCATGTCCAGCTGTGGTGGGCGTCCTCCGGTAAGCGCAACCACTCACTTCCTGTGTCGGCCCGTTCATTTTCCTCCTGCACCTTTGAGAGATTAGCTTCCCCTGGTTTTGGATATTCCTATAGATGCATTGTGTGGTCTTCTGACAAACACGTGATCTGTATTTATATCAAAGGTGACCCCGGAAGGGGAAAAACGGTTGTCTAATTGTTTACAGGAGTTCAGCCAGGTGGTTCATTATGAGAATTCATGAATTAATTCTAATTCCTGATAAAAGCATCTGCCAAGGGATTACTGGCAGCCGTTGGAGGGAAAAACCTATCGAACCCTATATATCACAACACACATGATTAGGGAGTGCCAGCTGTTGCGTTGTGAAGATGGTACTGAGGCTTGGAGCTAAACATGTGACAGTGTTATAAAGTGAGGCTTCTGCTTTGAAACATAATGTATGAGGGTCATGATCCAACACTGAGGTCTCGTATCTTTCAGGGACATGGCTTGCAGTGTGGCCGGCATCACATCAGACGCCAACGTGCTAACAAACGAGCTGCGGCTGATTGCACAAAGGTATGAGAACCCATGTGAGGGGGTTTGGTGTGGCAGATTCGGGAAAAGCCAGCCAGGACTCTGAAAACCCAAATCTGCCAAAAAAATAACTGCTTGGTAGAAATGCTCATTCTTTTGATATTAGAATACAGTATGTTGCTGTCATGTCAAACCTGGCATGAATTTAATGTTTGCCAATCTGGTTTTAAACCTACCTGTTTCAAAAGTGTATGTGTTAATTATTCAAAGAAATTGATTATTAGCCTGATCAGCGATGGATAGAAGCAAGACTTTGAGCGTTGCTGTAACCCAATTTCAGAGATCCTGCTCTGAATGCATACGATCCCAGAGCCTCGCATCTCGAGGCAGAGCTTGGAGACCGGCTACCAGTCAGAGCCAGTTACCTGGGGACAGGTAACTAGGCAGCTTTCCATGTTCCTAAAACAAGAATGAGTGGACCCTTCTGTGCCTGTGGCCTGAGGAGAGAAAAAAACCCCAGTAGGGATCAGAATCAGCTGATTCACTTATCTGCTGGCTGAAAATACTAAATCTTTTTTGAAAAACAAAACACCTATTTATATGTATTTCCAGTATGTCTTTACTGGAACTGTTGATTAGAGGGAACCAGAGACCATGCAATGTAGAGCGGTCAATTCTTCCATGGTTTTCCAGCATCTGCGGGGAGAGGTGGTGGTGCTTGGAACCCATCCCCTGTGGATACCACAGCTCTACTATACTTTATTTCCTGCTCAAGCAAGTCATTGCCGTCTGGCTCAAAAGCTTGATGGAGCATTCCTTCATGCATATTTCGTATCCCACAAAGTATCTGCTCGATCTGTGACATTTTGCCTTAGATTCTGCCTGTTTTAGAAGGCTGTGCTCCATGTCTCTAAGGGTTGTTAAAAATATGATCATTCAGAGCACCAGAATCATTAACATTCTTAAGTATTGTGTTTTTCTTTCTATTCTAGGTACCTGTTGCAGTATCAAGAACCAATTCCTTGTGAGCAGCTGGTAACAGCCTTGTGCGATATCAAGCAAGCTTACACACAATTTGGGGGTAATTGTCCAATAAAAGTAACTTTAAAACAGTGTGTGCCAACTGATAGGATCCGCTTCTATAAAAGGGATGGTGGGAGGTTGATGAAGATTTGTTCAAATGGTTTGCTTTTTCCACACTGGCAGACCATTTTTTTATCCAAAGAAGATAAATCAGTTCAGACAGCAGAACAAAATCTATTTTGATGCTCTTGGTGCTTCTCTTCAGCACAGAAAAGACAAGAACAAACTTATTTTCAGGTTCTGTTGATGAATTAAGAAATCTGTTGAAGCGCTTGAAAAAGACTTTCGATTTTGGCTATTTTCTGAAATGCATTTGGTTGTGTTTGTCCAGTGGAAACGTATTTTAGAGTGAATGCGAAGTGTCACTCTTTGAACACTGTATAGGTAGTTCTGTAAGAAACTGTCGTGCAAGTAATCACTTTTGAGCATTGACTCCTCCACAGAAAATTTGAAGACGCAGTGTATGTTCCAAAAAGGATCGCTTTTTGTTCTTCAGAAATCTTGGAAAGAAATTGTGGAGGATTTACTTGCCTCTTATCTTAAGTAGCAGAAGTGCAGAACATCGTATTAAATCCTAGTTCACAGGGAAGGGTTTTGCAAACAACTTGGCTTTTTCCGTTTGATAGCCGAACTCTTGGCAAATTGCACTACTTAATTTAAATCACCCGTAACCTTGTATTTAACAGGAAAGCGTCCTTTCGGTGTTTCACTGCTGTACATTGGCTGGGATAAACATTATGGATTCCAGCTTTATCAGAGTGATCCCAGTGGAAACTATGGTGGATGGAAAGCCACTTGCATTGGAAACAATAGCGCTGTAAGTTTTGATCCTTTTTCCATACTGTTGAAAATAGTATTTTTGTTGGAAGTACATAAGAACTTCTGTGTGCTGAGTTTCGGCTCATAAGCACTGCTGCTTTGGACAGACCTACATCAGAATCGCAGTGTCATGTTCCACGCTCTTTTTTCAGGCAGCTGTGTCGATGTTAAAGCAAGATTACAAAGAGGGAGAAATGACCTTGAAATCTGCCCTGGCTTTAGCTGTCAAAGTCCTGAACAAAACTATGGATGTCAGTAAACTCTCTGCAGAGAAAGGTGAGCCCTGCCCTGCCTTTTTATGTAAGCACTTAAGAGCCCGTCATAATGTGTTCTATTTTTCCTTTGCGAAAAGTACAGTTTCAGCCTAATAAATATGGCATCCAGCTGGGTCTTTCTGATGAGTTTAATTAAAATGTTTTGAAAATTAATAGGTCAGTTGTCTATTGCAGTTTTTCCATGTTGTTGTTGACATGAGTGGCACATATGTGGAGCTGAGAATTCTGTATTGTTATTTTGGCAAGCTGATTTTTTTTTTAAAAAGATGAATATCAGTATCCCTGAATAGGTAGAAGGGTCCTCACAACCACGGTGAAGGTTAGCAACCTCAGGACCAAGTTGTTCAAGGCCCAGTGCATAGATTTCTTTTTGATATGGTCAAATGTGGGCATTTTCCAATGCAATCACTGGACACTATCTAAATATGACATCTTTAGTCTGCATTGACACTTATGATATTTTTAAAAACAAGAAACGTTAATATTTGTTTTATTTAATTTATTTAAACTACTTTTAACCCACTTTAAAAGGACCCGAGGTGGCTTATAACAAAATAAAAGACAGTATTTAAGATAATTATGAGTCTACAGTACTAAAAGGATCAATGAATACAATATCAAAAAGCAACCATAAGCAACACCAAAACACCTTCAAAGCAGTAAGGTACAACAATCTATTTTTTAAAAACCCATTCGGCAGCCAGTCACTCAGGGAAAGCTTGCCGGAGGGGAAACGTTGTGCTTTGGAAGGACAGTAACAATTGAGCTGGTTTAGCTTCCTATGAAATGGAGTTCCAGAGTCTGGGAGACCAGTATGTGCTTCAAACATAATAAAAATCTTCAGTCATCTTACGGTTGTCTTTTCTGTTGGCACTGGAGAGAAGTCACAGATAGGCCTTGAGTTCAGCTTGTTTTAAAACTGGATAATGTATTTTGAATCATTGGCGATACAAAAACTTAAGGCAGCCCCTTTCGTACTTGTATAGAGTGCATGCCTTTCTCTTTTGACCCACACTTTTTTTCTCTAAATTAGCACTTGAGATAGAAATTGAATGTATGCATTCTTCACATTTCAGTTGAAATCGCAACCCTGACAAGAGAGAATGGAAAGACCGTAATAAGAGTTTTAAAGCAGAAAGAAGTGGAGGAGTTGATAAAGAAGCATGAAGAGGAAGAGGCCAAAGCAGAGCGAGAAAAGAAAGAAAAAGAACAGAAAGAAAAAGACAAATAAATCATGCATCTTGTAGGTGGTGAAGGGGCAGTTTCAGTAAACTCTTGGTGAGGCGAAGGAGATGTTAACACTGTTTATAATGAAATCCGTTTCTTTGTACCCCTGAAGCCCACAGACCCGTTCTGATTTCTTGATTCTTCTCCTTTATTACCTAGTAAAAGTTTTATGACTTTGTTGTCAATTTTCAGATTGCCTCGGGAACATTTAATATACTCCTATTGAAGGAAGCACTTTGATTTGAAACTCTACTTGGAGTTGTGTTTCACAGAATCATTTGGTGGTTTGCCTCTTTTCCTTAGGGAGGTGGGGAGGAGATGAAGACGCAAAAACCACTTTTGCAGATCTGTCATGTCTTCAGAGGAAAGGGAGTGCCTAATATCAAAACCACGCAGAAAGTGTCTTACGCTCCAAAGTCTTCTGCAGGTTCTGCCATGTCTCCGGTGGTACTGGTGGTGAACCCTGGTCCTCAACACCCTTGGACCTCTAGCTATGTTAAAAATCTGATGAGTTGTGGAGGAACACATTCAGCTCATTGGGAACCAGTGGTTGGAACTTTTATACACAGCGCACGAAGGATTTGAACATGGTTGGGGATGTTTGAAAGCAGGGTTACTGTCCGCCACTTTACCTGTAGTGGACTCAAAGCAATACGCCTGCCGTGTTTTGTACGAAGAGATGAAATGGGGGGTAGAGATCCCAGAGTGTATTGCATCAGCAGCGAGGAAGGTTTTGGACAATTTATAGCTCCCAAGTTATTTTTAGGATGACGGGTCTAATGTTAACTGAATATGGGAACAATTTGTCTTAGAAATGAGTAGTTTATCCCCATGCAAATTTATGCCTGGTCAAGAATATTTAATAGCAAAAATCTAAACATGTCTACTGAGAAGTCACATTAATTCCAGTGTGATGTAAATTTGTGTATAGGATGGAAATACCAGCTTGCGGTCTTCTGTCAAGAGTAATTTCCGGCTCAGACTGCAATTATTTTACTGTCTGTTAACAAGCTGATCAGGGTCACTGAATGTTAGGTCGTAAGTTCTTGTCCTGGCAGATCAGCCCCAAGGGTCTTGCAGATAGTTTCCCCTTCAAGTTCTCGTACTTGGCCTCATACATTTAAATGCATTTCTTAAAGACCCGGTGGGATTCTGTGTGTCGGTCTCCTCAGATGTAAGTTCTGTGACCTGCGATGAGACTAACTCCCTCACTAAGTGTGTATAGCATTTCGTCGTAAATTATATTTTGCAAGTTTTCACTTTAAATTTTAATCACTCCTCTGCCCTCTAAACCTTTCTCCTGCCTGGAAATGCATTATCAGCTGAATCTTCATTTTGAAGACTTTAATAACTAATTAGTAATTTTAGATTCCCTGCTTCTAAATGTGTAGACAGCATCTCAGAATGCTCCGGAAAAAACGGGATTTTATTAGAACAAAGAGATAGTTATCTTTTTTCCCCTCTCAATCTTCAGTCTTTTTCTTTCAAGCTCTGCCAAACTGCAAATTGTCTCGGAATGAGAGTCATACCATAGATGATGGATTTAAGTCAATTTTGTAAAAAACCCTGAACCTTTAAAATGGGGTTCCTCTGACTTAAGAAGCTGCAGATAGTCTGGCTAAGGAGGATATGAAAAAACTTTTAAAAAAGAAATTGACCCATTTATTTTAACGTAGGCTTCCATGCTGAAACTATACAGTGGTTCCCAACCTTGGATTCCCAGATATTTGTTGGACTAAATCTCCCAGAAGCCTCCACCACTAGCTTTGTTGGCCAGGATTTCTGGGAGTTGCAGTCTGAGAACATCTGGATTACCCAAGGTTAGGAACCACTGCATTATAAACTTTGTGTTTTTTTAAAGTAAAAGAAATGGATAGCACTGTTGCCTTCATGTGCTATTTATGTAACTCCTGGAAATATTTGGTTGTTCACCTTTAGACACAGGATGTTGTATGGATTAGATTAGTTCTGTGCCATCATGTCAGAATCCACTTAGAGCGAACCTAGTAAGGCTTTTATGGTATTGAAGGAATTGTTTTACCAGTTCCACACACCCCGGTGATTTTCCATGACCAAGGTGGGATTCAAACCCTGGTCTCCAGAGTCCAAGTCTAACACTCCATCCACTGCACCACACTGGATCCCCGTGTATTAGGATAAAGTGGGCAGTATATATCCTTCCAGATGTTGGACTGCATTTCTCATCAGTCCTGCCAGCAGAATCAGTGGTGCAGCATGATGGGAGCTGCAGTCCTTCAAGGCTGGGGAGTAACATATTTTTCATCCCACATTGAACAGACCCTGGCTCTGAATCGAGGAAGAATATTTTCCGCCGCTCACTTTTTATTCTTCAGTAAGATGCTTTGAACTTTGGGACTGAGCAAGAAAATAACTATGGCATTTATTTATAACAATGCCCAATTTTAATGTAATTGCCATCTATTTTACTTTTGTAAGAATGTGTTTCTGCACACACCCCAAAATCCTACCTCATTTTTCATGAGCCAAAACCTTTGATCTAAATGAAAAATGTAGTTCAGGTTCTGCAAGTTTGTGACTGAGCATATAAAATTCAGATAGGCAAAGCCTCTAGGAGAAACTGCTTACACAGAACGTCCTCCTGCATGTATTCCTACACTCGCTTAGGATATTGATTAGAATGTTCTGTAATAAATCCCAAGCACCATATATATATTTCACATTTCGTGACAACGGCAGTGTCTTCAGATCCCTGGCTTTATATATTCACAACAACGCTCTGTATTGCCTCTCTCTGCAGTTTGCAAAGAATTTCACAAAAGCATATTTTTATAATGTATTTGATAATTTGTGGACAACGCACAGGAACTCAGAGGGTTAATTTGAGAAATATATGTTCAGGGATTTTCCCCCTCCCACCTACTATTACCAAACAAAGGCATTCAAGAATGAAGTTTTATGCGTGGATCTACTGATTCCTGAGCCCCACTTTGTGAAACCGGTCTAAACAAAGGTTTATGGCTTTGTCTTTTATGATCAAGTGCATCTCATTCCCTGCTGAAATACCCTTTGAAACAAATTAGCATGTTAATTACTTTTTCAGAGCTGACCTTTTGACTTCTAGCATAATAGATCCCAGCATCTACGACTGGCATGCACGGACAGACCTGGTCAAGGAGGTGACATCTACATTTGGGGAGAAAGAAATGCCAAGGCCACACAAAAAGAATCCGACCGTAGGTCCAAAGGCAAAGTCCAAGAACATCAAGCCAATAGAACTGAGTCAAAAGAGAGAGTCCTACGTAGAGATGTACTCAGTTGGCCCAAGAATCATAGACAGCACAGAATCCGGGCAGGCATTAGGATTCACTTCTCCTTCTGGGGAAGAAACTTGGCTATACGATTTGGCCACCAAAGAGTTCTCTCTGAAGGAGAACCCCCTACAGTTGAGGAGGTCCTTTCTCCTGAGGGGTCTTTCTCAGCCGTTGTCATGGACCTCCTCTAGCCGCTTCTGCCTTTATCTTAGTGGTTCCCAACCTTAGGTCCCCAGGTGTTCTTGGATGACCAACACAACTGGTGGGGGAGGCTTGGGGAAGGCTGTAGTTCATGAACACCTGGGGACCCAAGGTTGGGAACCAACTGCTCTATCTTAAAGACTGTTCTTGTGAGCCAGGAGGCAGCAGAGAGCCACCTGCTCATCTTCTTGAGGCCCAAATACCCAGGGTAAGCCAGTCATTCTTCCACGTTCTTAGGTATTGGGGGTTCTAGCTTATGCTTGTTGTAGGACTCATCCTGCAGGGTCATGACAGGTGGACACATGTCCTTTGTCAGTCCTGCAGGCGAGGAGCTGTTGGAAGACCATTCTCCTAAATCGCTTATGCTCGTTGTAGGACTCATCCTGCAGGGTCATGTCAGGTGGACACATGTCCTCTGTCGGTCCTGCAGATGAAGGAGCTGTTGGAAGACCATTCTCCTAAATCTGGAAGTGCAAATGCTCATAATGAAGGCCCCCATAGCCAAATCCCCATCCCACAAGAGTCTAACACTGCAAGCAATCCGTCCATAAGGACAAATGAGTAAGATTTTTGTAAGGTTAACGGCTCTGAATTGCCCATTCAGGACCAAACTGCTCTCATGTACTTTGCCTTACAACACAGTCATCTTGCAACAATACAAAATCTGTGATTCTTTTGGATACTCGGAGGACTCCACAGAAGTTCAGAAGGAACATGGAAGCCCATGATGATGCCGGAGTCCTGGTACTCAGAACGTCCCAGGGTTTAAAACCTGCTAACCCTGGCTCCACCACATCTGGTACTGCTGGATAGCTCACCAGCTTAGGTCTCTAGCTGCAGAGCCAAAGGCTGGGAGTTCGAATCCCCCCACTGGGCCTCCTTGTGAAGGCTGGACTTGATGATCTATGGGATCCCTCAAAGGCTGGACTTGATGATCTATGAGATCCCTTCCGGCTCTGCACTCCAAATGTAGATCTGTGTCTTTATCCATATGAAGAGAGTGGAAGCTGGTGACTCAAATGCTGCGGGGGGGGGGAGAGAAGAGCCTGCCCCATTCCCCCCCCCCGGAACCATGCCAAGCACCATGGGAACAAAGTTTAGGGGAATACAAAGCAGGAGCTTGGATCTTACAGCTGGAGTTCGGTGACTCCAGGATTAGGAGCCGCGCCGGGTTTTCCAGGCTGCCGTTCCTGGAGAGCTCTCCATGGTGCTGAATCTCTTTGGCGGTGGGATGGAGCGAAGTCGGAAGGACCAGCATCCAGGCTCCGGAGAACAATGTGTCCCATACTCCCCTGATGAGAAAAGTGGGGGGGGGAATCTGGCTTGTTTGGTTGCCCTCCCTCTCCCCCACACTGGGGGCGTGGCCTTCCTTCGGCCCCTCCCTTGAGCGATTATATACTCCCCCCCTCCTGTGGCTCCTCCTTCCTTCGGGGGGGTGTCCTTTGCTTCTCCCGCCCTTCCTCATCATCCTCAGTCTCGGAGGCGCGTCTCCCTCTGGCAGAGCCATGGCGGAGACCCGGCGGCTGCAGCGGCCAGGCGCCCTGTTCCTGCTGTCGGGGGGCTCCCGGCTGCTCTCGACCCCCTGCCTGCTCTTCCTCTTCCTCCTCTTCCTCCCCCTCCTCCCGCCGCCTTCCTTCTCGGAAGGATCCGGCCCGGACAGCGACGGCGTCCCAGGAGCTCCCTATCCCGGTAACGGGGAGAGCCCTCGCTTGCTGACTTCTCCCTTCGGCCGGCCGAGTTACTTTGGGGAGGGGGGGATTACAAAGACCATCCGGGGTGGAGGATGGTGGGAACTGTAGTGTTGTGTAAAGTAACGCTGGAAAGGTTTGGGGGATCGGGGATAGATTTGAGAAGGTGACCTGCACTGGTGTGGATGGTGGGAACTGTCGTTTTTTTAAAAAGTAACGTTGGAAAGGTTTGAGAGATTGGGCTAGACTTGAGATGCGCGTGATAGGCTCGTGCGAATGCCTGTTTTTAAAAGCGGGGGTTGTGTACCTGTTTGCAAGGCGCCGACCAGCGCCGGTGTGGCTCTTCTTACCTGCATTTATTTGCACCCCTGGTGCGGTCTTGCTCGTGAACACGGTTCATAAAGACTCGGTGGCAGGTCAAGGAGATCAACCGAAACAAACGGGACTGGATTAAATGACTAACTCTGGATCTCTAGCGTGACCTTTTCTCTCTCCTGCGCTGAGTAAACCTACCGAAATCAGTAGGTCTGGATCGTTCCTCGATCGCTAGTCTTCTGCCACCCGTGAGTTGTCAGCGGTGGGTGCCGTTTGCACGTTACAGTCTGCCCCCCCAGGATGCAGTTGCTTCCAAAGGCGAAGAAAGTCGCCTCCCTGTTCCCTGGTATCCTCGTGGTCATTGCGGTTTTTGCGGGAGCCTTCCGGGGCCACATCCGAAGAAAGAGCATGATGGATGTGGGTAGCCACTCACAGCATCCTCCTGTGATTGCCTGTTTATGGGTAATAAAGGCTACTGATCCCAGGTTAAATGTGCAGCAGTATACCTGTCTACTCAAGAGTTTAGCCTGGCTTGATCCCAAGGGAGGGGGTTTAGGGTTGTAGCCTCCCCCTGCAATCAGATTGCAGCGCTGCAAACCTTGGATTTATGGGGTCAGGATTTTTTTTAAATCCAGTGATCTATGAGGCCAAAATAATCTTAGAATTGCACAGCCCCAAAGAGACCCTCTGGATTAGGGAGTCCAGCTCCTGTCAGTCAGGCACAGTACTGGGGGGGGGGGGG